ACGGGAACTACAGCGGGCCCTGGGAGGACCCGGCTGGCTGGCCTCCATGTGCGCCCCCAGCACAGCACAGCACAGCACGGGGGTATCCTAATGGAGGCCTGAGCCAGGGGCCCAGGGAGGGGCAGGAAAGCAGTTCTAAGGAGTCCTGGGGACTACTCGAGGGGTGGGGCCCTTACCCTTGCCACAGTTAGCAGGAGGAGGCTGAGCAGTCAAGGGCTCAGCCTCTGAAATATCAGGTAGAGAGAGGGCCACTGCCTATCCGACAGCCAGTCTGCGGAAGGGGCGCACGCAGGGGGAGAACCTTGGGACCTCCATGCCTGCTGGCCAGCTGCATCCCACCCCCCACCTTCCCCAAAGAACATGGTAAGCCAGGGATTGGGTCATGAGAACCATAAATATCATCAGTAAAACTTTTGAAAAGAAAGAAAAAGAAATTGCTATTTTAAAATGTAAAAAAAAAATTTTTTAACTTTTTAAAATTTTGCTACAGGGAGCAAGTGCTTGTTAGAGACAGAGAGGAAAGGTGAGAAAGCACTCCCTGGGGAGAACGGCCACACTGCAACCCCTTCCCACCATTCTCCTCTCAGAATTTTGGGCACGCATGCACACGCATCTAGCATGTTCCTTAAGCTGCTGGGTCCAGGACTCAAACCAGCCAGCCACATGGGATCTAGCTGCCTTAACCACAACACTGCTGGCTGCCCGCAAAACGTAAAAGATTCTTAAAACCTGAAGAATGGCTGCCCCAGAGCGAGCTCTGGAAGGGTGATTTGCCACAGACCTCACTGTCTGCCCTGGAGAAGGGATGGCCCTAGGAATGGCGCGTTGTCTGGCCAGGTCCCGGCTGGAGCAGGCCAGCTCCCTGGGCAGACTGCTATTTAGGAGGCCCCAAACACACCCCATCAGTGGGGAACCCAAGAGACTCTGCTGGAGAGCGGAGGGCAGGTGCTGGGAGTTCAAGGCTGGCCGGGTCACCGCCCCTCACCCAAGGTACATGTGCCAGACACCTGCCTCAGAAAGGGAGGGTCGACTTAGGTCTGCGCCCCAGGGCCTGTGAGAGCAGATGCAGGCCTGCCAGAAAGCAAGGAGGATCAGGGCCAGGCCAGGCTCACGTCAGCCAGGCTCACAAGCGAACTCACGTGGAAGGTGGCTTAAAGCAATGAGGCTGTGTACCACCATGGGGAGCACGTGAGCGCCGAACCCAGAGCACCTGGGTGTGAGCTGCCCCTGCCAATTACAGGAGTGTGACCCCGAGCAAGCTGCGCTTAGTGCCTCCCCCTCCGTCCTGGGAATGGAGGTGACAGTACCAGCACACACGGGGGCTGCGGGGAAGGCATGGTGAGCTAACACAGCGAACCCCCGAGAAGGGGCCTGCACGCAGCAGACACTGATGAGCAGGCCGGCCTCCGGCTGTTGGGTGCTCTCAGGTGAGCCAGAGCCCTTGGCTGGCCCAGAGCCCAGGCACCACTGTGATCACCCGACGGCGGGGACACCTGGGGGAGGGCTCCCCAGGGAGGGGCCGTGACGGGCACCTTGCTCTGAGCTACTTTCTGGACTGCCACAGGGAGCACTGGGCCTAAGTCTGGGGTCCTGGCCGAGTCCCTACACCACAGGGAGCCTGAGGAAAGAGACCAGGGTTTTCTTCCCCCTTTTTCTGTTTGACCCCTGCTGCCTTGTGAGAGCACAGAACTACACCTCAGAGCAGCAGCCTCCACCAAACACTGACGGCCTCCTCCAGGTCATCCGAGGCCACGAGTCTCCACCCCAAGTGCTGGGCCCTGGCCAGGCAAGGAAGAGGCCTTTCTGCTAGAGACGAGCCTCTCTCGGCTGCAGGGACAACTTAGCGACATCAAAGTTTCAGGAAATAAAGACGACACCCGGCACCCAGCTGAGACGGGACATGAAGCGGAGTCACCTCAGGGAACCTCGCTGTCTGTCCACCCAAACTCGTGTTTGCCCATGACAAACTGGCTCTAGGCCTCCCCAGGGCTCATGGCCTGATGACCCGTCCATGGTGAAGGCTGGGTGGGCAGAGGGCTGAGCAGGGACCCTCCTCCTTGGGGTGCACACCTGCAGAGCTCCCACAGGAACTGCTGGGGCACAGGCGGAGGGTGGGGCCTGGGGAGAAGGCTCAGGACACTCGGCGGACTTCCTGGAGCCGAGGTGACCTGGCCAGCTCGGCCTGGACGCAGGTCTACGTACTGTTTCCAACTCGGCCGGCCGGGGAGGCCCATGTCCGCCGGGCACCAGCCCGAGGGGGCCTGCAGGCACTTACCAGGAAGCGGACATCGTCAAAGCCATTCAGGAGCAACTTGCTCTCATACTGCTGCAGCCCAATCGACTCCAGCCACTCCCCGACGCTCTGCTCCAGCGTCCGCGAACCTGACGAGAGAGGAATCGGCAGACGCTTGAAAAGGGAAAAACCATTAAGGCGGTAGCAGCGGCACTCAGAGGAAGACAGATGGCACTGCCACATCATAGTCATTACCAGAAAGCAGCCAGACTATGTACAGAGCCAGAGAGTGGCGGGCACTCGGCTCCTCTCCCGAGCACGGCCCGGGTAGGGCCGCCCCGAGCTGCGTGCACGGCCCAACCTCGGCCGGCCGCGCCCACTCACACCCCCTCGGTCTGAGCTGCTCCAGGGCCACGGCCGCACATGCACAGCCTCTGCCCACAGGTGGGGCAAGCCGACCCCCAGCAGTCTCCGGGCCAACTCGGCATCAGCGTTCACACTGAGGTATTTCAGAGAGTCTGTCCCCGCGGGCACTAGAGGGGGCCGGGGAGCTCCTAGGTGCCCACAAGCCCCGCCGCTCCTCTCATCCATGCAACTTCTGGAGCCCCGCGGGGCTGCGGCGAGGGGCAAGTTCTGTGACCTTGCAGCACGAACCGGTCAGGAGAGCACACATCTTCATGCAGCCGAGGGACACAGGCACACAGCGAGGCTCCGGGAGGGAAGCAGCGGCGGCTGTTCACGGGGACCCAGCACATGCAACACAAGCAGCACAGAACACGGCAGGGGGGGAGAGAGACTTTTACTTGTTTTCCCCCAGCAGTCCCGGAATAAGCAAACCATGGCCCTGGCCCTTTGTGCTCAGAGGCTCAAGGCAGCAAGAGGCTCTTGGGACGCATGGGCCAGGGCTCGGGACCAGGCTCCGGTGTGGCTCTGCCAGGGCAGCAGCATCACATTCTGCCGGCTGCAGGGCTAGCGGGGCCGGGGGCCCGTCCACAGCTAGACTCTGGCAGCTGGCGAGCAGGGCGTCTCCGGGGCCGGGACGCTGGCTGAAGGGCTGCCTTCCAGGGCCGGGCTGCTTTTCGGGGGCTGGGCATTCATCTTCCTCAGCTGACAGTGGCTTTCTGTTCCTGTGCCTCGCCTGCCTGCTCAGGTGGAAAGCAGGCAGGCAGATTCAGTTCTTGGCTAAAGACGACAAACCGGCCAAATGAAAGGGGGAGAAAGGAAGCGGCCCTCCGTCAGCGAGCTGCAGTGGCTCAGGTCTGTTCACGTCCTGGGCGGTCCTCTCTCTGGCTGAGTGGCAACGACAGCGACTGTCTTCCTGGGGCCTCTGGGTCCTGACGGTCTCCTCTAGGGCTGAGCGGAGAAGGGCGGGCGCTCACTTGCAGTGCCCCTCAGTTAGGACGGGGGCTGTGCGGTGTGGGGAGGACCAAAGTTCAGCCCTTCTTGGCAGATCTTGGCTGTTCTGAGCTGGACGCCTTGACCTCTCACCTGCTTCTCCAGTTCTCGTGGGCAAGAACAGATCAAAGGAGGCGAAAAGGGAGGAGGAAGAGGTGCAGGGAAGGAGAAGGAAGGACCAACGACGAACGTCACCTCCGATGAACTCTTGACATGGTGGAAGTCATTTTGTCACTCCTGGTCCCTTCCTGCCTCTCAGGGCAGGGCAACGCCAACTTGCTCGGTATCTAAGAGGCCCTGGGGGCCAACTGTGCTGGCCCGCGCCCCCTCTTCTCTGTCCTCTGCAGAACAGCCTGGGCAGCCTCCGGGTGCCAGCAGCAGCGCTCTTAGAGCTCCTGCCCTTGACGGCGAGGTTTGCTCCAGGACCCTAAGCACCAGGCTCTGCTGCGCCCACCAAGTCCAGTGTCCCCGGCTGCTGATTCATTCCGGCTTGTAATCCCCCGGCCGGGCAGCTGCGGTCCCGCTGCCGTGGACGTGTGCACTTCCAGAGCGGCAGAGCGCTTTGTCTGCGGCTCCTGGGCTCCACGCTGCCTGCTGCCGGCTCCGCCGTCCTTTCTCACTCTCATGATGACTGGCCCTCCCCTTCCTCCCCTCCCCGCCCTCCCCCTTCCACGCTCAGGAAAATACATCAGGGATCGGACATAGGAGCCGACGCAGCGGCGGGGGGGGGCGGGGG